GACTCCCGAGTTTCCTTTCCCAGCAGGGGCGGGTCTCAGCATGAGAACCTCGCTGCCAGTGCCTCTCCAGCACAAACTCGTCCCCAGGCGAAACAGAAGCACTCTGAAGAAGGCAGCGTTCAGCAAAGCCTCCTCAGCATCTAGCCTTACCCTGTCATTCCCCTTCCCACACACACACACCCAGCCACAGCATGCCCAGGGTTCCCAGGCCCTGCTTAGCCAGCCCAGGGCCAGGTCCCCCTCCTTCACCCGCCACCTCTTCCCCTCCCTTTCCACTCAGCATTTCTCCCTCCTGCCTACTCCACAGATAGCATCACGATGACCCAGCAAGCAGCGCACAACTGAGGAGCCCTGGCTGGGCTCAGCCAGCGGATGGAGGGATTACATTCAAGCTGATGACAACAGAAAGAAGAAACTGTCACAGCAGCAAAACCTCCAGCCCAGGTTGCCAGGGCAACTCCTCCCCCTCTCTCCACCTGCCACCCCCTAAAACATGGCAGAGGGTTATGTTATGCATTACCTGGCGAAATACTGTCTCAGAACTATAAACTGCTGATGGCGACAGCTCATCCCAGAACTGTGGTCATGCTTGACTGGCCGCAATTACCCCCACCCCGCCCCGCCTGCCCAGGGATGAAGGAAGCTGAGACACAGGGCAGCCCGGCAATGGCTCATGCGGTGTGAATGCCTCAGCACTGGAGTGGGAAGCAGGTGGGGTGCTGGGCGGGAACAGGGATGGCTACTTAGAAGTGAAGGGAGGGTTATGCAAAAGAGAGAAGAGCAAGGAGCAAAGAGTGGGCAGAGAGGAGGAGGGAGGCGGGTGAAGGGAGCAGGGGAAAGAAGTGGAGAACAGTGACTGCTACCAGGCACACACAGTGCACGTCCCAGACACGGTCACATCTAACACACGTGAGCAAACTGAGGCTCAGAGAGGCTAAACAATGCCCCCAAGGTCATTGGTATATCTGGAGGGAGGGGGGGACGTAACATTGACTGCTAACAATACGTAGAACAGCCAGTGCAGGGTGACAATAGAAAGCAGGCCGAGTTTTAGTTGGTTGTATTATTGTTTTTAAGTTCTCTACAGACAAACACCCCCTATTGCCTGCACCTGGAGCAAAACCTTGCCACCACCCTGTCCCCAGTGCACCACTGTCCAAAGTCACACTGCTGGTGGGTGGAAAACTGAATTAAACCCAGGTCCTTCTGATTCCAAAGTCTGTATCAGGTCTTCTGTCCTCGCTGG